GAGTTCCAGGACAGGCTTCAAAGCTACAGAGAAGGAAGGAAGGAAGGAAGGAAGGGAAGGAGGGAGGGAGGGAGAAAGGGAGGGAGGAAGGAAGGAGGAAGAAAGATTGACAAGATGGAAATGGAGTGGGGCATGCTGGAGCCCACCCCTAACACCTTCCCACAATTCAGGAGGGGACATCCACCCAGTGTGCCCAGCTGGAGACTGCTGAGGGCCTTGTCTTCCCCCTGCAGGAGGCCGAGGATGGAGGCCGAGGTGAGTGTGGCAGAGGGACCCGCAGACCCTGCTCAGGCCGTGTCAGTGTGGTGACATCTTGTCCATAAACTGACTTTTTCTTTACTGTGCTGGCGCCCGCCTACCCCAGGGATGGCCAGTGAGGGAAAGAAGGCTGGGATGGTGTCGGAGTCCAAGGTGGCTGAGCCTTGGCCACCAGACGAGTTTCTGTTCACTGTGTCTGTCTTCTGGGTTTTGGTCTGTTCCTCATCCCTCTCTCTGCGTCCCTTTTTCTCGGCCACAGAATCCCGAATGGCGTCCAATGACTCGGACTCGGAGCTGGAAGAGGCCTCTGATCCACTATCATCCTCAGATGCCAGTGCCCTGCACCGCCTCAGTTTCTTGGAGCAGCCGGAGGTGGAGGCCGGTCTAGAGGAAGGTCCCCAGAGCCGCAGTGGCAGTGAGGAGCAACTGGAGGGAGAGGATGGAGACCCAGGCCAGCGGCTGTGTGCCTTCAACACCAACCAGTCCAACAACACAGCACGGGTCGCTCTGCCCGCTATGCGGTTCCGAGGGGGGCAGATTACAGGTGGCACCAGTGGGGACCGGCGGCCACAGTTTGTCTGAACTGGGTCATGATGGTAGTGACCATCAGCCCACTGCCAACCACTGTAAGGGCGACTAAGGCCCCTTGACTTGAAGGGCTGGTTTCTCATAACTCTGAGAAAGGAACTTCGGGGCACTCTGGCACTGTGGGGTGCGGTCTCAGATGGAGTGGCCTAGCCGTCGTCGTGTGCCTGTGCAGATGCAGCAGCTGGATTTCCATGGTACCCTCATCGCTCCCGTGGTCCCCATCAGCCCAGGGTGCAAGCCACACCCTTCTTGGTCTGTCTGGATGGGTGTCCACGCAGGACACCAGTGGTGCAGGCCTGGCTTCTGTGTGCGGAGCTGGGGCGGCTCTGGTGTCGGGGTTCTTGCAGAAAGCTGAGCACGGATAAGGAGGAGCTGAGGTTACGTAGTGGGCCTCTCCCTAGGTGCAGTGGAATAGCTTTTCACATGCACCCCCATTTTGCTTGAAATAAATTTCTTAACCAACCGAGCCACAGGACCGGTTTGATGTCATTGTTTCTCAGATGGGGTCTTGCTTTGTAGCCCTGGCTGTTCTGGAGCTCCCTACGTAAACCAGGCTGGCTTACGGTTGGCTTACAGCTCACAGGACTCTGCCTACTTCCTGCCCCTCTACCACAGGGTCGCCCTGTAGACCAGGCTAGCCTCAAACTCAGAGATCCTCTTGCCTCTGCCTCCCAATTACTGGGATCAAAGGTGTGCACCAACCACACCAGGCGTTGTGTTTCTTGCTACACACATCTTAAATATGTCTTTGCAGTTCTGGGAAAGGAATCCTCTCCTGTGGAGCTTCAGCCTGGGGGCAGCATGATGGTGGCCCTGGGACATGGAGTCACCCCCTGCTCCTCATCAACTGGGGTTGGCACACACCTGTCATCCCAGCGCAGCGGAGGCAGGGGGATCCTGAGGAGCAGAGGCTTACCATTCCAGTCATGGAGTCCACACACTTCTCTGCCACCCTGATACCAGCCAGAGGGGACAGGGCCTTCCTTCCTGATGGGTGGGACCTTGGGGGGGGGGGCTTCCTCATGAGGGGCAGCCATACCAACAAACCACAGGCACAGATAAGATACCTGAGGGTAGGGTGTCTGGAGTCGGTTGGGGTGAGCACTTCAGGACGGCCTGGTTCTTGGTAAACAAGAAGTCTTGGCTCTTGGCCAAGACAGAGACATCAAAGGAGTCTGACGTCAGTTCTTGGAGAGAGGAAGAGAGGAACGAAGACTGGCTAGTGGTGTGTGTGGATGTGTTTGTTGATCTCGATATGAGTGCCACTTGGTTTTGTTTTTCTTGTTTGTTTTGAGGCAGGGTCTCACTATGTATCCCTGCTGGCCTGGAATGCAGAGTCCTCCGGGTGCTGGGAGTATAGTTGGCGCACCCCCCCCACGCCCCACTTTGAGGGTGAAAGGAGCCCTCCCCCTGCATTTAAACAAGCCACACCCCATCCTGATTGACTTTGCCAAGTGGCTCAGAAGCCCATTTCAGTCAGACACTAGATTACTAAAAGGCCACTGTGCTGGGACATCTAGGAACGCAGATTGTGTGGTGCTGGGCGTGAAACCCAGGGCTTACCAATGCTGGATGAGAGCACAGCACCAAGCCACGCCCGGTCCACTAAGCGACCCAGTGGGGCTCCCCTACAGCAGCCACAGAGCCGGGGGAGAGCCTTCCATCTCCACAAATTCCTATCTGCCCACACGGAAGCTCTGTCCCAGTGGGATGGACACTTCCCTGTCTGTGTCCCTACCTTCCCAAATCCTGTTTACAGGGCTCTGAAGGGGCCTCTGGGAGTGAGACTCCCACACCCTTCTAGGTTGGGTAGGTTCTGGACCCTCTAGCGCAGGGTTTCCCAACCTTCCCGATGCTGTGACCCTTCACTCCAGTTCCTCATGCTGTGGTGACCCCACCATAAGATTCCTCAGTTGCTACTTCGTAACTACAGTTTCACTGTTACATCTATGCCACCGCTGAGAGCAACCTTTGTGTGACTCAGTTACAGGGGAAAACACCCCACCCTGTGTCTGGGGCTCCACAGTCCAGAAGGCAGGACCAGGAGCCAGCCATCAGCAGCATCTTAGGTCTATCCTGCAGAATATCCCACTCTGGTCACGGGACACGACTGAGGTGTGTGTGAAGGAAGGTAGGTGGCCCAGAGGTTAAAAGTACGGGCAGCTCTTCTACAGCACCCACAACCATCTGGAACTTCAGTTCCCAGAGATAGCGCCTCTGTTCCGCCAGCCAACCACATCCATGGTAACACACACCCTTGGGAGGCTTCCAAGCCAGCCTGGCCCACACAGTGAGAAAGTGCCGTGGCTGTCACCTCCAGACACATGTGGAAGCCGGAGCATATTGAGCATCTAATCCCATCTAATCCCAGCCTCCTACAGGCAAGAAGGGTAGTGGAAACAGGAAGACAGACACCCAGGAAGCCTTCTGGCCGGCTAGCCTGGGTTGTTGTCCTGCCCTCTACACGTGGGGCGCACACACACCCCAGCAGGAAGTACAGGTAAAAACAAATCTTTAAGCCACCTGTGGCACTGCATACCGGTCACCCCAGCACAGAAGGCTGAGGCAGGGTACTCAGTCTCAGGGCAGGCCACAAGGTGCAGCGGCCGAGTCCACAGGGAGGTGGGCAGTGTGGTCTGCAAACTGGAGTACCACGCAGTCATGAACAGGACGAGACTCTAACACCAGCCACAGTGTGGCAGACCCCCAAGGACATCCTGCCTCACGAGACCAGACACAAAGCCCAGTGTGGGACAATGGCAGGAAACGCAAAGATCAGAAACCAGAGACAGGAAACGGGCTCCAGAGGAAGGCTAGTCTGACGGCCACAGCCATCAGTGGCTTTGGGGGATGGACTGTCCTGGAGATGGCTGTGGGACCAGTCATACCAGGGCCTGGGCACAGCTGCACTGCACTGTGGGAGGAGCTGCTGGCAGCCAGGTGCTGTGGGGCAGAGCGTAGGCAAGCCTGAGGCCAGCCTGTGCTGAAAGTGGGAATCAGTCACCCCAGCACTGAGGGAGGCAGGACAGCAGGACTTCAGGGTCACCACAGCTACTTTGTGAGTTGGAGGCCTGATTGTATGACCCTGTCTCAAAGACCAAGGAGGAAGACGGCTGGGCGTGGCCCAGGGGCAAGGCGGCCTAGCAGGAAACCTTTTCCGGGCTTCACCACAGCAAGGCCTGCCTTGCGCAATCAGCTGTAATAGCGGACAGGGTTCCTGACACTCAGGCAGCAGACCAGCGCCTCACCTGATTCATGGAGAAGTGGCTGGGGGCCACAGGGGCATACACGGCACCCCCAAACCGAGGGCCCTCCAGGACCTATCCTGCACAGTTCAGCCCGAATTGACCAGACCTCCAAGACAATGTAACTCCTCAAAATGTCTTTAGTTCTCAGAACAGAGTCCTACAGAATGGAGAACTCTAGACAGGACAGCGACCTCAGTGGCAAAGGTGTGAGGTGCAGCCAGTGCTCTGAGACTGCACAAGGAGGGCTGTGGTTGCTGGCTGCCCTGGTGGCAGTGCTGGCCTTGTCCAGGGCCACATTCCCCAAGGCATCGGCCAGGTGGGAACCCTCTGATCAAAAGGCAAAGAGGTTGTGGCCCGTACTCTTGGTCCCGTGGAGCAGCAGGCAAGGGTACCGGACAGGACGAGGGTGCTGGTGAGCGAGGAAGGGGATCAGCTGGCTCCTGCTGCGTGGTCCCTGCTGCGTGGCCCCTGCTGCGTGGGCTCCTTCCCTGTTCTCAGACCAGCCCCTCACACCAGGAGCGGGCGCTGGACCAGTTCTTGCTGAAGTCATACACTCACTTGAAGTTGCAGCAATCCCCCTGCCTCAGTCAGTCTCCAGGGTGCTAGAATTTAACCTGGCCCACCAGCTGGTGATGGGGTTACAGCGTGCCCTCCCATTAGACCTCAGGGTTTGTGGGTTCACGCAGCTGCCACGCTGCAGGCACGGGAGGTCAGAGGACAACCTACAGGAGTCGGTGGCTCCTTCGTAAGTGGGCGCACTGGGGTGTCTCACCCAACAGTCTTGCTTTTCAGAATGGGACAGGGGTACAAGCTGGGACCCTGGCAGAGCAGTGTGCTGGCCAGGGAAGGCGGGCTCAGCCAGGGATGATACTGAACCCTGACTGCGGTGAGCTCACCCACAGCGGGCTACTGTACCAGGCGGTAGGTGATGTAGCGGCCGGCTGTCTCACTAGGACGGATGATCTTCACAACCTGCCCTCGCTTGATCCCAAAATAGCGCGCCACTGGGTCCCCAGCCTGGATCCTGGGCAGCTGGCTTTCACGAAGCTTGCTGGGACACCATTAAGGAAAAGGCTGGTGGGGCAGTACTGGGGTAAGGAGTCTGGAGTGGGGAGGGAGGG